TTGCTGCAAACAGTCTCATGGCTGTAATGAACATCATAAAGTTCAATGCTGATAATTTCTGAAGCCAAAAGCTAAAAAGTAGAGCTCATAGATCACAATTCTAAGTCAAAGTTTAGAAAATATCAGAATGTGAAAGATGAACTTTTAACGCATCTCTAAGATCTGTTTGAATTTAACGAGGAGTTTTCGGATGTATGTTCTGTTTTAAATCCAACTTCCATGGTTTCTGGCTTAATAATAAGGCCAACTAAATGATGCACTATGATCAGAAATATTTTTTTCAACACTATTTCATAATAGTAATTTCTATCATCAATCCTTCTTAAAAGAGATTTTAAACGTGTTTTTTTAAAATAAAATTTTCAACTGTACCCTATCATAAATCCAGTTAAATATAAAAATTGATCTTTATGCAGTACAATATTCTTATCAACATTTAGAAAAGCTAAAGCAAATGTCAATCCAAAAATTAGGCACATCCTTGAAAGTAAGGCATAAACTTTTACTTCTATACCAATAACAAACAGAATACACGTTTCCCCCCAAACTGGTACATGGATGACAGAGTTAGTGACTCTTTTATCTGAAGTCTAGAACCCCCAGTTTCCAAAGTTCAACAGTGGAAGTTAAGATTTATTCTTATCTGGAAGAATTTTCTCCTAACACATACCCAAACTAAGCCACAAAACACTCCTTTCACATAAGAAAAGGGATTTTAATTCAAGACACTAATTTGATCATTATCTGTGGTACTTATATTTTCTGAGGTATTATTCATAGTTTCAATCACATTCCACTTGTAGACTCTCATTTAAATAATGCTGACTTTTACGTGCACTTGCAATCATTACAGCATAAGAGAAGCATTATGAGTGATGTGGCACTGTGAAAATTGGGAATCGAATCCAAGATACAATCACCTTAGTGATAAATAGGAATTATTTTAAAAGTAACTAAAAGATACAGCTATTAAAAACAGTTTAATGTTGAAAAGAGTTTTGCTATATTATAAATAGCAAAAATGGCTTTTCATTTTAATCCTTTTATTTTCTCTGATCATACTGTGTAGGAAAAAAGTCAGAAGATATACAGAAGGAACATGAAAAGCAAAGGACCTGAATATAAAACATCTGGACATTTTCTAAAGATATGACAGTAAGTGTTGAGAAAGTCATTTGCATACTTTGATCATCTATCAACTTTGTTTCACTTAGAGAAGCTAAATTTTATTATAGCTAAAACATAAAACAAAGTTACTTTTAAACACATTAACTGGAAATGCCAATTACAAGAAACTAAAAGCATTTTAAACCTGAGAAGAATCCTTAAGAGTTTATCTAGTCTGTCATTTTTATCACAGAGCAAGTTGGGATGCTCCAACAGTAGTGCCTCCCCCTAAGTGTGCCAGAAGAGGCAAAAAGGGAGAAAGGGATAGAGAACGTGTTTGAAGAAATGGCAGAAAACTTCCCTAGTTTGGTAAAGGAAAAAGTCACACAAGTTCAGGAGGCACAGAGAACCCTAAGCAGGAAGAATGCAAACAGGCCCAGACACATCATAATTAAAATGCCAAAAAATTAACAACAAAGAGAATCTTAAAGGCAGTAAGAGAAAAGCAAACTGTTACCTACAAAGGAGCTCCCATAAGGCTGACACCTGATTTTTCATCAGAAACATACACTTGGGTGAAGATTTAAATAAACAAATAAATAAAAGCCTAACAGCCCCCAGGGCCTCTAACAAAAAAATACCTCAAAAAGCCGAAACCGGTTTGGCTCAGTAGATAGAGCGTCGGCCTGCGGACTGAAGGGTCCCAGGTTCGATTCTGGTCAAGGGCATGTACCTGGGTTGCGGGCACATCCCCAGTGGGGGATGTGCAGGAGGCGGCTGATCGATGTCTCTCTCTCATTGATGTTTCTGACTCTCTATCTCTCTCCCTTCCTCTCTGTAAAAAAATCAATAAAAAAAATATTTTAAAAAAATACCTCAAAAAGACATATGTTAAAGACATATTAACCATATAGTTGCTCCCTCCATTTTGTTAGTGTGCTACTACACTCACCGAAGCCAAGCATGGCACCTTATCAAGGTTAAAGAACTCGTTAAAGTCAAATTCTCCCGGGGACTGCTCAGGCAAGACGGCATCCCTCGGCACTTCCTGATCTGCAGCAGGCTCCTGTGCAAGGATGACCTCCACCTCCTCCTCTTCGGCCACTCCTCCATTGCATTCGACTATGCCTAAAAGCAAAACCAGGTTAGAAGCAGGCTGAGCATGCTAATTGCTAATGACTTAGTCTGTGGCCTCAGCCATCATCACATGCAGAAGAGACATAGGTGACTTTAAAAGCAGACTTCTTGTTACAGTTCAGCATGTTCAGTAGAAAAACAGTTCTCTTTCTACGGAAGGAGAATTGTGGTCCCTCCTCTGCCCATTCTTCAAGTTTCCCGCAGTGCAGTATAGTGCTTTCCCCCTAGTGCGCCACAAGAATTTTTAAAACCTGCAATACCTGACTCTTTAGTCAGGGGCACTGACCTCTCCCTTAGATTGCCAAATTTAAAAAATGATAGCAGCCAACACAATAGCCCTCCAGTATGAAGCCCCGCCTTGAACCATAAATACAGGGCGTCCCAAGAAAATGTGTACACACTCTAACAGCTGGGAGCTCAATTTGAAAATGAAATGTGTATAAATAAATACTCCCTTTGTAATTAGTCAAAGTGTGTGTACACATTTCTTTGGGACACCCTATGTATGGGTCACCTAATAGAGATGCATCTTACTGGTCAGGTCACATAAGGTTACATATGATCAGTTAATTGTTGGTCCCAGAAATTCTTCTACACAAGTGTAGGCACCTGATATTTTTACAAAGTTACTTTGGAGCAAAAAGGTAGGCAATTACTACCATTATTATTAATTTTTTGTAAATCAATCAAAATCATACCTATTTTTTGTCAGAGCAGCAGGAAATACCTTTTTAGATGTGCCACAGAATTTTAGTGATTAGTTTTCCTGTGCCATGAGATGGAAAAGCTTGAAAATTGCTGGTGTGGTGAATTATTTTTCTAATAGGATCTTTTTTTTAAAGCAGTGGCCTTTGCATGTCTTACTGCTTAAAAATGGAACGAAATTAATTTGGTTCTGTCTTTATACATGCATCTGCACCACCACTTAAGTCAGGGTTCAGAAAGCTAAGATACTGTTGCAGTTGTGTCCCAACTAAGACTCATACATTATAAAAGAAACTCATTTTTAGCATAGTCACTCTAATTCTGTGTTGTGATGGGGACATCTAACAGATGAATGGCTTTTGCAAGCAGCACGAGTGCCCCATATGCAACTTTCTGTTGTTAATCCCCATCTTAGGATATTTCTTCCATTGATTTTTTTTTTTTTAAAGTGAGAGTGGCAGGGAGGGAGGGAGAGAGAGACACAGTGAGAGAGAAATGGATGTGAGAGACACTTCGATTGGTTGCCTCTCTCATGTGCTCCGGTAGGGCAGGAGAATCAAGCCTGCAAATCACGTATATACCCTTGACCAGGAATTGAACCCATGACCCCTCAGTACGTGGGCTGATGCTCTTAACCACTGAGCCACATCAGCCAGGACTGTGTGCAGCTTTTAAGCTCTCTAGAAAGCAGGCTGGGCCTGACAACTGAGTGTCTGTATGAGTAGGAATATGTACTAGCAGACAAACACAACTGGCCATTTATTATGATAAACTCAAAAGTCAGGGACCTAGGCAAAGTAACTAAGAACAAAGCCTCCCAAGTTACCTATTTCCTGCATCACCCGAGGGGAAAAAAGTGTAACAGCATACATCCTGTTCAACTCCCAGCTTCACTACTTACTTCCTCAGGGTCCTCAGGCAAGTCACTAAAGCCCCCTTTGCCTTCAATTGCTCACTTATAAGATGGGCATAAAAGCACCTACCTCACAGGATTGCTGGAAGTAGGATTATATAGACAAAATGCTTACCACTCTGTATAATATACATAGTGCGCTCAATAAATGAGACCCCCATTATATCTACCACGTTTCTGTCTCTGGGAATCCTTTTGTGTGCACGGTGCTCGTAGCAGCAGAATGTGAGGACTTTCTGTTTAGCATTGCAGGCAGAGCAAGTTGAGGAGGGAGTATAGGAAGCAGTTTCAAAATCAGGCTGCAACTGTAAGAACTTGCTACTTCCTAATACATGTGCCCATTCCTAAGTACATAGTTAAGCCAATTATAAGCATATCGAGTTTTAGAACAGTGAGCTTCCCTCCCCGTTTTTGCTGACCTTCCTTCACAGAGGCTGTCCGTCGCCTTGTTCTTTTTCTTCCCTTCTGATCTTCTTCCAGGATCTTATCATCAAAGCCAGTCAGCTCAATGGTTTCAGACTGACTTGTGGGTCCAGCTGAGAACCATTCTGGTTCTTCTTCTGTGTAGGAATCGTTTCTTCTACGCTCACCAAAGACACGCTTACTATCCCCAAACTCCCTCTGGAAAAGTACATAATGCAGATAAAAAAGAAAATTCTAGTTAAGGCGTTTCTACCTCAATCAAGGCCTTGGTGAATTACGTAATACTCAATAGTGCAACGAAGACTATGTTGTAGACTTGAAGCCCCTCTTCGCCCCCATCCAGCTCTCTCTATTCCTCCCTATCTGGCTTAAGAATGGGCCGTGTTCATCCAGGATCTCAAAGTAACCAGTACAAAGAGGTGAATACCGAGTCCCTAGTACACAGGTGCCAAGGAACCTAGAAGACAAACCCTGAAGCGCTTGTCCTTGTAGTCCCTCTCTCGGTCTCTGTCTCTCAAGTCCCGCAGGTCCTTATCGCTCAGCCGGTGGTCCTTCTCGAAGTTCCTGGCAGAGATTATCCTCCCGCTGCCAATTCTGCGTCCTCCAATCAGGCGAAGTCCATCACCATCTTTCTCCAATGGACTTCCTGAGCGCCGGGAGCTAACAGCGGCCGTGACGTGGCAACCCCCTCCGAAGCTTCGCCTCTGTGGGCTAAGAACAACATCTAAGTCATCTTCTTTCAGGCGCTCTCGTGGGTCTGGAAAGATGCCAGAAACAGAAAGGTAAGCAAGTCAGCAAGGGCATTTTCCTCCTCCATGGTATACCCATGACGTGGTGGTGGGGTTCCTGGAGAAGAGTCCCACTAAAACAGTTACCGAGTAACATGTACATTACATATTTACGTAAGACAGCCTTTGCTTTTTTATCTTTAATAGCAAGCAATGTTTTAATTATAAATGATTTTCCCAGATTAGTTTCCATAATCCATTTTGACTATGTCCTTATCTATGTAATTATTGGCAAATGTTTAGTCAACTTATGTTGTGTGTCAGCATTTGAAAAAATTACTTAAAAAGGTAGTGTCTCTTCAACAAATAGTATTGAACAGTTGGATATCCATACACAAACAAGTGAACTTGAATCCACACCTGGTCTCATATACAAAAATTAATTCAAAATGGATAATAGATCTAAATGTAAAACCTCATCAGCGGTTCTCAACCTGTGGGCTGCGAACAATGAAAATACATCCTGCATATCAGATATTTACATTACGATTCATAACAGTAGCAAAATTACAGTTATGAAGTAGCAACGAAAATAATTTTATGGTTGGGGGTCACCACAACATAAGGAACTGTATTAAAGGGTCATGGTATTAGGACGGTTGAGAACCACTAAAACTTCTGGAAGAAAGGACAGGAGAAAATCTTTGTGACATTGGGTTAAGCAAAGTTTTCTTAGGCATGACACCAAGAGCATAATCCCTTTAAAAAACGATAAAGGGGGCTTGATCAAAATTTAAAACCTCTACTCTTTGACAGATACAATAATTCTTTTCTTAAGTTCTCTTAAGGTAGTTGATAGGTTCCTTAACTTTAAGTGAAACAATGTATAACAAAACCAATTTTACCAGAAGCTAATTGATATAAACAGGAGTTAAATTCCCATGGCATTTCCTCAATGTTAAAATGAAACGACACTGAACAAATGATGTTCTTTGAGAACCTGGCATAGTACTCAAAGAATGGAAAAACAAGCCACAGACTGGAAGAAAACATTTCAAACCATATAGCTCATAAAAGGCCTGTACCCAGTACATATGAAAACTCTAAAAAAACTCCAAATGGCTTGAAGAGACACTTCACCAAAGATGACATATGGTTGGCAAATAAGCAATATGAAAAGATATTCAACATCATTAGCCACTAGGGAAGTGTCAATTCAACCATATATGATGCCACTACACATCCATTAGAATGGCTACACTCAAAAAGAATGACTGGCGCTCTCCCTCCTGAGAGCACGCCAGGCCTTTCCCTTCCCCCTCTTCTTCCGCCAGGTCCATCACCCTTGACTTTCTCCTGAGCTCCAAGGGCCCTTCTTCTTTCTGCCTCTCTAACTTGTTTCCTGACCTTATGCAGCCCAGCGGGCTCACTTCTACTCCCTCTGTAACTTTCTAAATAAACTTTCTCTTATAATTTGAAGAAAAAGAAAGAAAGACTGACCATTTCAAGTGCTGACAAGGATGTGGAGCAAACGGAAGTCTCATCCAGTGCTGTAAAATGGTAATAACCACTTTTAAAAACAGCCTGGCAGTTTCTCAAAATGTTAACCACATCTCCCATATGACCCAGCCATACTACTGGGGAATGGTACAGAAGAGACTCAGAGGAGTACTAGGAAACCTTTGGGGGTGATGGAAAAGCTTATTACTTTGATTGTGGTAATGTTTCACAGGTGTATACACATGTTAAAACATCAAATGGTATGCTTTATGTGCAGTCTATTATATGTCTACTAGAGGCCTGGTGCATGAATTCGTGCACAGGTGGGGCTGACTGGGGCCAGGCTGGCTGTGGGGAGGGGATGCCGGAGGTTGGCCGGCTGGCCCTTCCCCCCAACCCATCGGAGTGGAGGGGGCTGTTGGGGCTGCATTTTGCATCAAAGCAACCAGTCATTCCAGTGTTCCAGTCACTTGGCTTTTATATAAATAGATTATATCTCAATAAAGGTGTAAGAAAAGTAAACATGTTAACACACACTCAAAAATTCTTCCTAGAAAAACCAGAAAACTAAAGATAAGTCCAAGTGAGAAAAATCTTTTAATCCTCTCATCAAAATCAGCTCCTAAAACATTCTGGTGTGTACTTTTCCAGAACTTTTATGCAGTGTCTCAGTTTTTTCCAACACAAGGTATAATATGGGCAGCTTTATATTACTTGGTAAACACATCTCCAACACGTTTTTAACAGCTAACCAATGCAATACTCACACATACTCAACTCATTTCTACTATGGACATTTAGGTTGCTTCTAAGTTTTCATCATTTGAATAAAGTCTGTGGCACATCTTTAATGATTCTGTTAGAATAAATTCTTTGAGGGGCATTACTGCACTGACTGCACTAGTAGATTCTTTGTAGAAGGATCGTATAGCTCCAACTAAAGTCATCCCTATTTTCTTTGCTCAGTTCCAAATTTGTTCTATGATGGGTCTTCTCTTATCAAAAGGAGTTCCTCTTGCAACAAGTTTCTTGACTAGTTTTAATATTGCCAGGTCTCCATTTCACTTTTCAGTATCTTTTCTAGTTCAAAGGGGTAAAGGTATGGAAGATCAAACTTTATTCCAGTCTCAAACCTTATCTAAACCCTGTATTCATACCATACTCCATTATGAATTAAGAACTGCCAGAACTGATTTATACCTGAGTACTAGTCTCTCATATGAGACTAAGCATAACCAGATTTCCAGCATAGCTTTATGCTCCTACCACACCTAACGCAGTTATCTACGTCAATGAATGACATTAGTACTTTTCATTCAAAAGCACATAGCCTAATGTGTCTACTTGCCACTGCTGCTACACTGGAAGGCTATGATTTTACTCAACTGGAAATCAGCTTCCTGATAATGACGCTTTCCCTCCTTGCACAAAGCTCTCACAGCTAAGAATGAAGCCAGCAGCAAAGAGCACTGTCTCCAAACTGCTGCCCCCACTTCCGAGTGACTGTGCTCACCTACTATCCTGCGCACCAGGGAAGGCCGGTCTGCATCCAACTCTTTTTTCACACTTTCCACTGGGGAGCTCCTCCCGGAAGCTGGGTACAGAGAGGCGTGCCACTTCTCAGGGTCCCAGACACCGTCACTGTAAGTCAAAGGGCACCAACAGTTAGCATTTACACATGTCTCATTTACGAATTTCCTCAAGTAATATGTTGTGGAAATCCCTTTCCAATATAAAATGTCATGGTTACCATAAAAATGGTTAAAAACGGTTATCTATTTTAAGATGAAAACAAAAGCAACTATTAATTCAGTAATACTTTGTCATTGTTCACATAACACCTGAACTAGCTTGAAAACTAGTCATCTGTGCATAAATGAAACATTCAGATCACATACCTTGGGGTGCAGTAACTACGCCTGTTTTACACAAAAAATATGGCTCCATAAATATTACTACTCAGTTTACAGAAGATTAGTACAAGGAGGAAAAACCTCTTAATCCTCTCACTAGAAGTAGCTCCTAGAATGCTTGGTGGGTATTTTCCCAGAATTTCTATGCATAGTCTCAGTATTCCCCATAAGCTCTTACTAGTAAGAGCCTAAGACGTGTGGTTTGGGTTTTACTTTGTCCGCCCTCTGATGATGGGGTGACAGGTGGCACAGTGTGCACAGCAGCTTTGAAGCCCAATGGTCTGGGACTAATTCTAGCTCTGCCATCACCACCAGGGACACCTTAGACAAGTGACTGAGCTATGCCCTTCGATCTTCTGCAGAAAGGACTTCCCCAAGCCCAGATCAGACCAGCTGCACTACACACTAGCTCTGCTCTCTACACTTGTCCTTTACAGCCTGTACTGGTGGCATGATAACCTCTTAGGAGTATTTGTGCCCTTCTACAGACCAATGTTCCACGAAGGAAGTACTTGACAGCACCTGACACAGTGTTTGCTGCATGGCAGGCACCAATGGAACATTTCTTGAATACGTGAGTCAACCTCTCTGTCTCAAACTCCTCACCATAAAGGGGACATGACCTGTCTTTTAGTGTGGTTTTGAGGATTGCTTAAAGTTTAGGAACCCAACAAATTTTAATTGTCAGAGAAGAGAAACAGCAGAATGAGAACCTTTTTCCTCTTATTTCCATTAGCATTACTAGGCATAATTTTTCCACTTCGGAATAAAAGTGAATGTGTATGCCCACAATAACTTTATGTCAAGAAGAAACAGCTGTAATGAGAAGATTCAATTTGAGGCATAAAAAAAGCTTTATAGCTTTAATGAAAAACAACAACAGATTATCTGAGACTTATTAAAAAGTCCTAACTATGTGGAATAGCAATTATTCAAGTATCCCTTTCATCAGGGTAAAGCAGATGAGGCGTCCAGATTTAGCAACCTTCTAAACAGTCCATATACAAAAATAAAATGAATATGCACTATTCAACCAAGATGGATGCTTTGTATGTTAAAAATGTAGACCAGCCCTAGCCAGTTTGGCTCAGCGGATAGAGCGTGGCCTGTAGACTAAAGGGTCTCAGGTTCGATTTCGGCCAAGGGCACATGCCCAGGTTGCGGGCTCAATCCCCCCAGTGGGGGGAGTGCAGGAGGCAGCCAGTGATTCTCTCTCCTCATTGATGTTTCTCTCTCCCTTCCTCTCTGAAATCAATACAAAATATATATTAAAAATAAAATGTAGACCAGTATGAACCATCTACGTTGACATTGAAGAAGTGACCTTAAAAGTGCAATGTAGAAGTTACTGTAAGAGCTTTTCAGAACATTGTTAGCTACATATAGTCTTGTCAAACCAAAGCCTCTACCTCTTAGGAAAGTGCCAAGATTCTAAAGGGCTTATCTGTATATGTATATGTATGTATATGTATATGTATGTGTGTGTGTGTGTGTGTGTGTATATATATATATAAAATTGATTTTTTACAGAGAGGCAGGGAGAGGGATAGAGAATTAGAAACATCGATGAGAGAGAAACATCGATCAGCTGCCTCCTGCACACTCCCCACTGGGGATGTGCCCACAACTAAGGTACATGCCCTTGACCGGAATAGAACCTGGGACCCTTGAGTCCGCAGGCTGACGCTCTATCCACTGAGCCAAACCGGTCAGGGCTGAATGACTCTTGTTTGATGGAGTTGGGGGGGAGGGCACAGATGAAAAGGCTCAGAGTCCTCCTGATCAGCCTTCCTGGGGCAGACCTTTAAGAAGGGCCCTCAAAGCACAGTGCAAAAGCCACTAGAAGAGAGGAAATACCCTGATGAGGACTCCTGTGTTCAAGTCAAGTCTTAATTCTGCTTTCTGACCATGTGCCTTTGACCAAGTTTATTTCTAGTTTTAGTTTCATCAACAGTTAGTTAAAAGGGAACTGGTTTAGCCATCCTTAGAGTCCCTTGCAGCTCAAATCTTTGAATTAATGTTCAAAGCTAATTAATAATGAAAATAATGAAGACAATGTAATAAAATGCTAGTTATGTTCATAGTTTATCTGTAATATGTTGTGTTGAAGCTCAATGTCAAAACCCCTATCTCCCCACTCATAATTCTATCAAGAAGGTCCAAAACAATACAATTCTAAATGTACCAAGTTTGATGTAACAAGCTGACCAGAAGCAGCCCCCACTCCCACCATACCTGTCGTATTTTTCAGAGAGGCATGAAGGCCTTTGTTTGGAATGAGGGCGTTCTTTTATATCCAAGAGCTCCTCCTACAAAGAGAAATCAAATGTGATTTTGAATACTATTTCACACACTTTTGCTTATTTTTGTTTTCAGTAATTGAGTGTTTACCTTAAGCATTTTAAACAGTTCCTATTTATTTATACCTGACTTATTCCCAAAAGGACTGGAGTCAGTTTAAGGTTCTTACAAGAAGTTTAAGCAAAACTGGCAAATAACCTAACAGTGATCCGTTTCTTGCTAAGACACATTCTCTCACAAATCACTGTCCAATAATATATTCCACACACTGAATGCTCCTCACGGCATGGAAGCTTCAGGCTTACCTGAAACCTCCCGCTCTTAAATGCACCAGGTGCCAATTTATAAGGAGACAGATTTTTAAAATGGACTTCAAATTCAGAAACTTTTGTGTTTCAAATTACTATTAAGAAAGCAAAAAGACAACCCCCAAAATAGGGGGGGAAATTACAAATCATATATGGTAATCTCCCTTTACCCCCAGGTACACTTTCTGAGGTCTGGAATTAGATAGTAGTGAAGGTTGCATAGCTTTGTGAATTCACTAAAAACCACTGAGTGGTGTCCCTTAAAAGGGATGAATTTTATATTTTTGAATTATATCTCAATAAAAATATTTTTAAGTAAACACAAGTGAGAGATTCAGTTACCAGAGGATAATGTTTGTTTAATTTCTCTTCTTACAGATTTATTACTTAATCAATGACTGATAAGTGCCAAGTATTCTCAGGTATAAGAATCACTCAGGTTGGTAAAAATGTTTTAACTTCCCCTCCCATATTATTCCAGTTTTCTTTGTTGACTTTATATGCTTGGCAATTTCCAGGTGTGAACAAATACTCAAGTGACTGACTATACAAAGCCTATAGGAGCAAAAGATAGAGCAATGAGCCAGTTGCACACCGGCATTAACTATGCTAGCAGTGCCATTTGTGACAGGGTACACCTCAACTGGAATGTCAATAGAGGATGAAGAACCACTTTCTTCAATAACAGGCTGAGAAGTGGGAAAACAAAACCATTCTTGGACCGTAAAAACTCATGGGAATAACTTAAACATCAAGGTAAACTTATACTTATGGTTCTTGAGAGCAGAGCTTCTTAAACTAATTTCAGGGCCTCAAGGAATCATATACAAAATTGTGCATTTCAGCAGTGAGTGTTTATACCTTCAAGCGATTGCCAGTAAATCCTAAAGAAGTTAAGAAGTAGTACTTTAAACCAATGACGTTTCTCAAAATGTGACCCAAGATCCACCTGCGCATTTAGGGAAACATGAGAATGCTCCTCTTCGTGGGCTTAGAGACCTGGAATCTGTTAGCAAAGTCTCAACTGCATAAGACATAGGTATCCCAGCCTGAGAGGGTCCCCCACTTAAGTGGGGAGGAGTCAACACAAAGTCTGCTTTTCCGTAACCGTCCACTGAACATTTCCTGGGTGCCAGGCTAGTCTAGCACAGGCAGATGACTCTCTTTCCTGGCCTCACAGCTCTCCAGTTTCTCAAGAGGACTTGCTATCTCATCTAGAGCCCTTACCAACAATTATTCCTGGAAAGAAACCACTTTGGGATATTTTAAAAGAAAACCTTCAACTTTAGCTAAAGGAAAAATACTTGGAAAAGTGCCCACTATGGTTTTCTGCACAATTGAAACATTAAAACTGTATAATGGTTTTTCCTTTTTTTTTTTTTTTTTTTAGAACAAATGGACTTGCAAATCTGTTCTGCTCAGTTTTTGGTTCTTCTCTTACTGAACTGCTCACCTTACCACACTGCAATGACAAATAAACTAAGTGTAGCAAAATCATACAGGAGCTGACATAAGTTGAGTTAATAGGTCCCTGCATTTCAGGAGGCTGGATACTTCATTATCAGAGCGTGTGGTCTGCTGGGGAGAGACACACACACATTGACTGGTTGACTCCTGGGAGCACCCTGACTGAGGGTGGGGGACAGGGAGTGAACCCACAACCCAGCTATCGAACCCATGACCAGGAATCGAACCCATGACTCTTGGGTGTACAGTCTGATGCTCTAAGCCACACCAGCCAGGGCTCCTTTCTTCCTTACTATTTATTTTAGAGAGAGGAGGGATAGGAGAAGCAAAGAGAGTGAGGCAGACAGACAGACAGATATCAATTTGCTGTTTCACCCACCTATGCATTCATTGGTTGATTCTTGTGTGTCCTGACCAGGGATTGAATCTGCAACCTTGGTGTATCAGGACAATAGTGTAATCAACTGATCTACCCAGCCAGGGCTATCATGACTTTCATACCATAATTCTGCTTTCTCCAATATAAACAGGCACCCCTATTTTGACATTAGCTTAAGAAGTGTGCACTAAGTGTGCCACTGAAATGCCACCTGTTAAAGATTACTATTCAATTCAGTTTAGGAGAGAAACCTATAGCCATACTCTGAGTAGCTAGACTTTAGTATTCCTTGAACAACCCCGACGTTATCAAATGAGACCTTTGAACAAGAAAAACCAACCATCTGACTACTGATTCTAACTTAGGGTTTAAATCACTGTTACTGTTTTCTTCTCAGAAGCTTGCTGACTTCAAGTCTAGCAACTGATTTTCTCCAAGAAGGCTAGGAGGTTACTCAAACCAGTCCACTTCGGTTGTTTACTTTCTTAATGATTTTAAAGCAAAGACATAAACATGGCCGCACTACTGTGACCAACTGCCCACCAGCCACAAATGAGGGGGCTTCTTTTAAAGATCCCTTACAGACACTGATGGCTAAAATGGTGCCAATTCTCAACAAATCAAGGCAATGAAGGTCACACATGAAATTAAGCTCAGGTAATCCAATGCCTACTTTTTAGATTTCCCATGCACGCTGAACACTGGTCAGGATCAAGATGAATGTTCTGTGTCCTCTGTTTTTATTTCCTGTCTCCTGGCAGGAGGCAGCATTTAATGAGTCAGTGGGAAGACAAAGAGCAAAGGAGGACTAGCACTAAAGATGTACACTCTATGGTCTAAGATCAGTCTGTTCACTTGAAGAAAAAACACATGGATCTGAATAACGGGACAGTCCAAAGCATTTCTATTTTGTATTTCAAGCAGAAGATGATATCACTAATAGAACAGCCAGTGCTGCACCTCAAGAACTGGTAAATGAGGGCCTCTGATGAAGGTACGAGAAAGCTCAATGGCTCCCAAAGTTTCTTCACTAATACACATCACTATCTCCTCTGTTTCCTAAACCAATGGTTCTCAAACTAGAATCAGAGCCAGAATTCCCTGAAAGACTTGTTAAATGCTGATGACTAGGCCTTATCCCTAGACTTTGATTCAATACCTTTGGGATGGGACTTGAGACTTTATATTTCTAACAAGTTACCAGATGATGTTAAATGCTAGTTCAAAGACCACACTGTCTAAACCAGTGGTCGCCAACCTTTCGGACCTCACAGACCACCCGTTGGTGACCACTGGTCTAAAACACTTTTAATCCATGACTTTGAGGTGAGACCCACTCTATAACCTCCAAAAGTCTCTCAACATAATCCAATCAATTTATAAATGCGCATTTAAATACTACGGAAACACAGCTTTTGATCTCAGTAATCTGACCTGGCAAAATGGATCTCCATCGGTTTATAAATTAAGGGCTCAAACCCCTCAGGACAACAGGTGCATTTGAAAAATCCACTTATAACCATCCCCATTAATCATCACTGAGACTTAAGGGTAGGTCTGAAAGTACCCAGTGTGAGTCTAAATTGAGTTCCTGAGATGTTCACGGAAGCACAATGGACACCAACTGAACCAGGAGGAGTAACAATGCATTTGAGTTGCCTGACAACATCAACACCATGTATTGGGTTGTTCAAGGAATACTAAAGCCTAACTACTCAAAGTATGGAGGGTGTGCAGGAGGCAGCTGATTGATTTTTCTCTCTCATTGATGTTTCTAACTCTCTATCCCTCTCCCTTCCTCTCTGTAAAAAATCAATAAAATATATATTAAATAAAATGCTTTTCTTAACCATTTTAGGTACAGAGTTTTGAGGTTGGACTATAAAAAATGGACTATAATGAGCTTTTTATTCTTTACTGTAGACATACATACGCTCTATCCCAAGAGAAACCAATAATAACTTTCTAAAAATGACTTAACCATCAAGATGGATAAACATTAAGATGAAATACACATGCCAGCCTTGGGTCAGCCTGTGGAAGTGTCAGTACTCTACCAGTAGACTACCAGTAGACTACCAGTCAGAACTTCATTCAAAAAAGTTCTGGCAGAGTTGAAATCACAGAAGCTTATAAAAGTTTCCCTTCATTTAATAAGCTTTTCTCCATTCACAATTCACCTGTCAACATTTTAGGTAATGAATTTAAGTTGTGAACACTACTCAACAAGCACCCTCAGGTTTGAGGAGAACTACATTGGGGAAGACCAAACCTGGATGAAGTAAAATGCTTTCTATCAACTCTCACTGTTACGCCAACACACTGCAGTAAGACAGCAATTAACCAAGAACTCTTTTGCACTTGAACACATTTTTCTCCCTCTAAAGGGTTTTTTTTTTAAATGCTAGAAATGAATATTACTTGACAGCACTAGATACTTTATCAAGTAGGTAAGAGTAGTGACAAAAGTACACAAACAAGGCCTCACTTTAAAATATTAACCAATCGGTATCCTAGCAAGCCAGGGACAATACCACCTCCAAGACCTGACTGGGTCCATAGTAAGAAAGTATAGATATGGACCCAGCTAGGACATAATCCTTTCTGTCAACAGTCCCAAGCACATTTTATATACTCCAGCCCACTACATCGCAGGGAGCCAGAAGTGAATTCACAGCTCACTCAATCCTGTCAGCCTCTTCAGAAACATTCAGTAACTGACAAGATCCTGTGGGAAACAATAGCTTCAATAAAAATACCATACCCCCTCACACCCCAGGCAAAAGCAGATCTCTAGATGAGCAGTTTAAAATCACGAGTTTTCGGCTAGGGGAAATATAATTGAAGCCTTACTTCTGTGAGTCCGTATTCAATTCGTGACAGGAACTAAAAAACAATTGAAAATCTGGTGATTCTAGCCAAGCACCTAGAATGCACCCAAGAGCATTCCTTTGGGGTGTTCGCCTCTTAAGAAAACATCAAAACACAGGACACTGCTTTTGTGAGGCATCTCAGAGATGCAGTTCTTACTCTATAGCATGTAAGTCAACAACATACCAGCTCTTACAGAATGTGTGTGCCAACGTATACTGGTCCACAAATTCATGTGGGATCCGAGCCAATATTCCTCTCACCTGAAAGCTACCGAGAAGCAAATTCTACTTTGAACTCTGGGTATTCACTCTTTGAGAAAAAAAGTTCAAAGCCATGCGTTAGAAACTCTAGTTAACATTTAGTCCATAGAGCGAATGGAATCTCACTACCACTTTCGATAATACCAATGAAATACCTACACAATGTTACCAACCTCCCCGCCTTCACGAAGAAACACTATTTCATTAGTAACAAAGCCTACTTTTGTATAGCGATGGGGGGCTTTGGGGGCCAGTTGCTTCTTCAAGTCAAGGAAAGCATCTCCATTTTCTATGTCACCCGCACTTCTCCTATCCATGGCTCCTCCCGGGTCTACGATTCTTTGCACCTGGAAGATAAAGGAGCACAAAACTGTCTCTGAGAACAGCACATTTGCAGAAGTCTGGACTGTTTCAGAAACCGAAACTTTTCCCTCTTAAAATGACTACCATTAAGACACAAACCTTCACCCAACAACTGTGCTCTAAACCAGAGCCCCGTCGGAAATGGCACCCCTGGTACCAGGTTATCTCTTCTAGTAAATGAACATCAAAAAGGGCGAGGAGAACAGCAGGGGAAGGTGCCCAGGTCAGGGGACAGCCTTTCAGCTGCTTTACTACAAAAAGGAACCAAGATCAGCGGCTGCCACCCATGGAGACCGGTCGCGGCGCCGCGGGGAAGTTTCCCGGACTGGGGGCAGGTAGGGCAGTGGTTGGGGCCGGAGAGACGGGAAGTCAGGCTGTCGTCAAGTGCCTGTCACTTGCCAATGGACGGCGCCAGCTGCCCCTCGTT